TATATATATATATATATATATATATATATATATAAAATATATGAAAAATTGATGTGGGTACTCAAATGAAAGGTCTTGATGAGTCTAACATCAGGATGAGCTTATATATTAGAAAATCTCAATAATTCACGAGATACAAGGTAATTTCTTAATTATGTATCTAGAGATCGGCATTTTTAAAATAAATTATAATTCATTTTTAAGACACTTACTTTTGGTGTGTAAAGGTTCAAATAAAGACAGTCTTCATCTCCATCATAAGTATAATTTTTAAATGGATTTTTCTGAGGACAAAGATTAGGTTCTTTTGTGGCGTCCCGAACGCCATTCCAAGGCTCGGCTTCTTCAGGAGGCTTTAAAGGACTTATCGTAAGTACACATTAATTAATTTTAATTAAGTTATCAATTAACATTAAAAGTTAGTGTACCTTGAACCTCAGGTGATCAACAGGCGGCTTCGCAAAAGGAATTCCGAAATAAATGGAATACTCCAATTCTTCTCCGACGGTTTTAAAAATCTTACCTTGGACGAGTCCTTTCGACGTGTTTGTAACTTCCGTCAAAACAGCCTGACTATTTTTTAAGAACACTATGACTATTATGGCAAGTAGCATTATATTTATTTTTATATTAGTTTATTACAAATATTCATCAAGTTCTTCATATTAGTCAACTGAAAGGTAAAAAAAAAATAGAGTGCACTATCTAAATTACTGCTGATAAAAAATAACAATTACATTAGTTTAGTAAAACATTGTTTTTTTTTTTTTTTGTGAAATTAAATGTGACATATCCTTGGCACTAAAATCTAATTTTTAAAGGAAAATTTCGGATAAGGTATGTAATAATAACAAAGTATCATTTGATAGAATAAAATTTTATCTATTACAATTGAACAATAACAAAGTAATAAATATACAAGATAATTGAAATGTTAACGAAAGTAATACTGTCTAAATACTTTTAAGAGAAAAAATATTTTTATGGAATACAATTTTAAATTATTTATTATTAAAATTTGTAATTATACTAACATTAGTAAAGGTAAGTTTAATATTAACCTCTTTAATTGCTTTGTAAGTAATTTTATGGAGAAAATATTGTAATTAATTAATTATTTATTAATTTAATTAATAAAAAATCAATTTAAAAACTTAAAATAAAATTTGGTACTTAATTACTTGGTCTACCACTTTGCAAGCGAAAACTTTAGAGTACACTTCGCCACCTAGCGGCCGTCGCAGAACTATTCTATTTTTTTTTATAAAACTCAGCTGTTGATTTATTTTTTTGATTATGTATTAAGTAAATTTTTAAATTAAAAATTTCTAATAATTTATTAATTAATTAATCAATTAAAAATTTAATTCCACTGCATGATACTTAACTACTTAATCTACCACTTAGCAAGCGAAAACTTTAGACTACACTTCGCCACCTAGCGGCCGTCGCAGAACTATTCTCCTTTTGTTTTTTTTTTTATAAAGCTTAGATGTAAATTTATGTGTCTAAAAATGTATTAAATAGATTTTTAAATTAGAAATTAAAAAAAAAAAATATTTAAACAAAGTAAAAAAAATAAAATTTTTAATAAACTATTTTCTATAACTTTTTTTTAATTAAATTCTATTTCAGGTTAATGAAATCAAAGACTACTGATAATTCCTACAATATTTTCTCCGAATTTGAATTCTACAACCATCTAATGTCTAATATACTAAACTCTGAAAACTTTGAACTTTATAAACACCTAACCTCTAATCTAATTAAACAACAAATTCGTGCATGTGCGTAAGTATTCAATATATATTAAAATGTAAACCTTTAATCCTGCACCCTATCATTAAATAAGTTAATTTCTAAATTGAGCAAGATTAACCAATAAATTACAACCTTTCAAATGGATAATTAATAACTCTACTTATACTTTGGCATTAGAGTCCCGGAGGAGTCAGCTTCTCCCTGAGCAGAGTCTTGGAAAGAATCCTGGTCAGAGGAAAGGTTTCATTACCATCTTTGCTGGAACAGGATCCACTCCAGTCATCAGTGTTCAGTGAAAAAATCATGGCACCTTTGAAATCATTGGCTTTGATCCACTCGGCCTAGAAAAAGTAACTGTATTACCGACCGTCGGTACAAACTCAGCCGGTAACCCTGATAGCCACTTTAACTCAAAGTTTTATTCAACCTACTGCAAAAAATTGCAACCAACTTGATGGAAAGAGTTTGCAAACCAAAAAAGGTTTTACTTAAGTTGCCTTTAAGTTACTCTGCAATTTGATGTCAAGACTTGCAAGTATTTTATTCAAGTTGTAGTAAAGGTTAAAAAAAATTTTATCAGGGAAGAAATCAGCCGGTAAAAACTCAGCCGGTATAAAGACAGTCGATAACTTACCTTAGCCGTGACACTATCAGCATCTTCATAAGAAATCCACTCGTCGTACTTATAAACATAAGGAGCACGGCTCTCTTGATCAAAGACACGTTGTCCTCCTACACTAAGCAGCCAACAAACCATTGAATAGAACACAAAGCCATCTACCCCGAGTCTCCCAAAGCCTTTAGCAGGCGCCATAATTCCATGATTATCAACATTGTCCAGCTGGTAAGAGTGTCCGTAAGTAGGAACACCAACCACAATCTTCTCCCTGGGCATTCCTTTGGAAACCCAATAATTAGCAGAGTAATTAACATTCAAAGTGGCAATGTAGCCAATCTCCGAAGCCCTCGGATAAAGAGGAGCGTTCAGTCCAGTGACGGGGAGGTACCAAACATAGTAATGTAAGTCATAAGCCATCAGGTTGATAAAGTCAACGTACTCGGCGATGTTGGGGACGAAGTAGCTGTCGTCGATAATAGCGGGAGGAGCTGCAACAGCAGCCGATAAGATCAGTGTTCTAGCTGACCGATCGAATTCTTTCCTTAGCTCTTGGAGCAGCTGGACGAACCAGATCTTCTGGCGCTCGTTGTTTCCTAGCCACGCGGGGAACTCCCAGTCTACGTCCAGGCCGTCAAGGTCAAAGGCTCTGGTGATGTTCAGCACAGATCGGATGAATTTCTTGCGGTTAGCGTGGGTTTTTACCATCTCGGGGAAGCCTAGGGTTTGCTCGTTGATCCCGCCAGCGGAAATCATCACCTTCAGTTTGGGCTGGAGCTTTTTTAACGAAGATATCTCGTTATAAATTTGTGTATTACTGCCCAAACTGAGTGTAGAGTTCACCACAGACGCAAAACCCACGATAATATGCGAGCAAATATTAGGGTCAATGTGAGCTGGACTGAGCTCCTCCGTCGTGTTCATTGTTCTCGGTAGGGTGTAGTAGCAGACGAGTATCTTGCCACTGTAATTAAAAATTTATTTTTTGTAAATTATATTTAGATGCAATTTGCATACTATTAAAAAATAATGAGTAATTATATTTTTGAACCTACCTTGAAGGGCTTCTAGAGGATGGTGCCGTGACAAGTGTGGTGTTGCGATCGGCGTTTTGGTTTTCCTTCGACGATTCGGCGTACATCCTAGCCCGGCGTGTCCACGAAGCAATCGTGGCATCTTCCGTGGTTATTATCACCTCCCTTAAAGGCCCGGACTCTAAATTACGCGACGGCAGCAAATCTGAACAGACTCTTAATGCAAAGAGACTCCCGACTACTATGAATACGAAAGTTAGACACACTACCGGCGACTTCCAATTTGTTCTGAAAGAATTTTTAGATGGTTGATTTATTTATTAATTAGAAATTTAATTTATCCTCTGCAAGTGTTACTTGCAAGGAGTGACGGAGTATACTGAGTATTGAAAGGTAATTTTATAGAAAATTGTGTTTTTAATAATAGATATAATCAATAACGCGGTGACCTATTAATTGAAATAAAAAAATAAACGTGAGAAAAATTAATTTAATAAAAAATTTTTTTTTCATTTTATAAAAATTATTATTAAAATAAATAATTAAATTAATAATTTTTTGCTAAGAAAAAATTAATAAAAAATATCATTTTTATTAAAATAAATAATAAAATTAAAACTTTGAAAAAAAATTTTTGGGCTAAAATAAATGAAAAATACAATTTTTTTATAAAAAAAAAAAAAAAAATTAATCAAATTGAAATTTTTAATAAAAATTTTTTGATAAAAAAAATTAAACATTAAAAGAAAATTTTTATTGATATTTTTTAAGTTAAAACAAATTAAACAAATAGCTTTTTATTAAATTACAATTTTTTTATTTAAATATTCGAATAATAAATAAATAAATAAATAAAATAAAACTTACTGTCGTACAGAAGTAAGTAATTCGTATTTTGCCTGTGGCACTGGAATTCGGTTGACCATTGATTGAATTTATTATAAAAAATTATAAACTCTAATACTTAATCATTTAATATTTGCAATATTAATATTAATATTTTTATAAATAAAACCGACGGAAATTTTGAACATAACTCAGTATTTGCACTATTAAAGATTGTAAATTGAAATCTAAGTGAATTTATTGTAAAAATATCAACTTTTATTTCAAATTTAGTTAATTATTACCCTGTTTATTATTATTAAAAGTAGGACGAATTTTATTATTTATTTTGATTCAAATAATAATTATTATATTACGAAAGGTCAAAAATAAAACAACAGCTGATTCACGTCACTTTGACACAGCGAAAATTAATTCCTAGATTCTGGGGAATTTTTTTTTTTTTTCTTAATAGAATTAAGGTATTATTTTTTAGTTAATAAAAATATTATTTATTAACAATAATTAATTTGATTGCATTGAAATTTATTTTTTCAAAATTTTTAAATAATATTTCTGTGAATTAATTTTTTTTAATAAATAATAAAAATTCTAAATTATATTTATAGATATAATTTATTAAATACTCAATAATTAATACAATTACACATCAGTAATAAAATCACAATAAAAATATAAAAATAACTTTAAAAAATACAAGCACCAAATTTATTATAATACTTATTATATTTATTAGGACGCAAAAGTAACTTAGTAAGCGGAAGATATCTACTAAATTAAACTAATACAGTTATAGAAAAAGGAATTTTATTGCCGACCAGTCAGCAAAATATCATCTTCGGACCTCGGAAGCCGCTTGTACCCTCCATGAGAAACTAAGTACACCGTAAGTCCTCCGAAGATGACAAATAAAAGGCCCATAACGTTCATTATAACTCCTTCTGCTACAAACAGCGCATATTTATCCTTCAATGCCCAAATTGCCTTTTCGTTTAATCCTAATAAGCAAGAAGATATTACTCCGACGAATCCTGCGGTTCCGAAGTAAACGTGGATTGGCAAGTATGCTGAGCGAATTGAAACGTGTAATCCTGGGAATAGGAAGGAGATGAATCCTGCCAGCCACTGATAAATTAATTGAAATTAATTTCAATTAAAAGAATTTTTAAATTTATAAAGAAGAAATTTTTTAATAAAATTTAAAATTCATAATGGAGAAATTTTTAAAAATTGAAAATTTATAAAGAAAAAAATGTTTAAAATTAAAAATAAATAAAGAAGTAATTTTTTAATAAAATTAAAATTGGAAAATTATAAAGGAGAAACTTCTTAAAATTGAAAATTTAGAAAGAATAATTTTTTTTTTTTTTTTTTCAATTGAAAAATTATGAAAAATAATTTATTTGAGACGATTTAAAATTTATAAAGAAGAAATTTTATAAAATAATTTAAAATAAAAAATTTACTTGGCAAGCGAATAAAATAACGCTGGTAAGTCCAACCCAACTGTGCAAAGTATACATATTAGGAATTGGAGGATTTTTCAAATTATGACTGTCAAAAGCGGCGATCATTGCTGTTACAGTTAAAACGAAGGAAAAAATCATTATTCCACCGTGCAATAACTTTAGTCTTCTTTTGCGGACTGTTCGGCGTGATCTGTATATTAACATACCTAAAAAATAAATTAAAATTTTATTATTAATTACTTACACGGAAAGAACAAGATTATACTGGATATAATCCCAGATTATACTGAGTGAAAAAAAAATTTTTTTTTCAGATAGTAGCTAGTATAATCCAGATAACAATGAGTATAATCCAGATTACAATGAGTATAATCCAGATATTATTCAGTATAATCTGGATTATACTAGCTACCATCTGAAAAAAAAATTTTCGCCTCAGATGTCACTGGGTATAATCTGAGATGGTATCCAGTGTCATCTTGTTCTTTCCTTGTAGAGCTTAAAAAATTATTCACAGATCTATAACAATGATTTAAGATAGTGAAAAAAAATTATTAAATATTAATACGCTGTCAGAATATACTTTTGCGGTAATTTCTGAATTTCTAATTTTATTTAGTTGGAAAAAATTTTGTTTTTTTTTTTAATCAAGAAAAATTATAAACATTTTTACTATATTAAGCGTTAAGCTTTTAAAGATATTGTTGTGACAAAAAACATTAATTTTTTTACAACTATTAATATTTAATTAAAATTCTTTAAAGCTTTTAATCTAAATTATCATTTAATTACTTATCTATTTTTTTTAAAGATAGCAATAATCCATAAATAATTTTTTTTTCTATCGGAACTTTTGAAATTTTTATACAAGAAAATAAATTAGAATAAAAAAAACTCATAATTTTATTTTTATTTTTAACTTATAATTTTTTTTTGATTTTTATATCCAAAAATTGTTTAATAAATTTTTTAAAAAATAATTTAACTAGTATAAAAATTAAAAAAAAAAATTTAATAATTTTTTATTAGAAAAAACAATTTTTTTCACCCTAAAAAATTTCTTTATTATTAATAAAAAAATATCTTACCATTTCCATACAAAAATACCAATCCAATAGTCATCAATAAAGGATGCCAGTTAAATTCCAGAGCAGGGTTCTCCCTCCAGGCGAACCCACCCTGGAAATTCTTCGTCCAAACAATCATAAAAATGATCAAAATTAGTCCAACAATTTCAGTTAATCCCAAAAGAAAATTAAACCCGGTCAAATTTTCCGTCGGCTGTTCGCCAATTTGATCCATGTCTAAAAATTTAAAATATTACAATTATAATAACAAATTATAAATAACAAATTATAAATTATAATAAAAACACTAACTGATACCTTGACATAATTGATAATCGCAATTATACATTTTAAAAAAAGATAATAATTCTCGAACAGTCTAAGAATAAATTAACTGCGCAGTAGGAAAATTTTAAAGGAATTTCACCGAAAAAATTTCCATTTTTTTTAAACAATAATTTTCCATTTTATAGTATATAATATTAAAACATATGCTTGTAATTTATCTAAAGATAATTTATCTGGGGAGTGAAAGCGAAAGCAAAATTACTAAAAAAAAATTTCAAGTGAAATTTTAAAAATTTTGAATCAAAATTTAGCGACTTACTCTGCGAAATTCGGTTGGCCAGTTTCAAAATTGTTCAACAGGTACTTTTTCTTTAAAACTACCGTATATGTTATATGTTACACTGTTGCTAAGAATATTTGCACTGCGATCGCATGCGGCAATATTGATCATCTCGAACGAGGCTCTATAAGGCGTTCCTGTCAAATAGAGCGGGAATTAGCTATAGTTACTTTCGTTTTTTACTATAGTTTCGTCTAGTTACTTAAAATACTTACTATACTTAATTACTATCCCCAGATGCGCGCAATAATGCCAACTATGCAAGGTTGTGATCTAATGCGCATGCGCAGACGTTTTTATCCACTGTAAGTAACTATAGACAAGGTTTCTTCTTTATCTGGTGAAGAAAAGTCGGTATTATAATTTCCTATAACTTGAGGGGGAAAAATTTTTAACTTCCCGCAAAAAATCTCAGATTTTCAAAAATCGGGAAGTTATTGTTTTCACCCCGTTTTACAAAAATCGAGTTTTCATCAGATCTCGACGTTTGAAGGTCACAGGAAGCTTCCCTGACTATCCCTGCGAGGTTGTCACTATGTCTGTATGTATGTGTGTGTGTGTGTGTGTGTGTGAGTATGTAATTCACTTATAACTTTTGAACGACTGAACCGATCGGAACGAACTAAACGGCGTTCTAAAGAGTCCCCTCAAACTTAGATTTTCTGAGAAATTGATCCGATTCGGACCGATAGATTTTAAGAAATTTTGAAAAATCTCAAAAAAAAATAAGAAAAAAATCATTTTTGAAAGTGGTTTTTTTGGAGTATCTTTTAAACGGCTCAATCGATCAACTTCAAAAACTAATCCGCCCTTAAGCTTGAAAAACCACGCCGATTGGCGCTAATCCGGTCAAAATCGGTTGATTCGTTCGAGAGATATCGTGAACGAAAGAAAACCGAAAAAAGTGTTTTTTTTAAAACCTGAAAATCACTTATGAGGATGATGAAACTGCGTCGAATGGCGCCAACCACTTGAAAATTGGTTGATCCATTCAAAAGTTATTGCGGTTTGAAAATTCCAAAAATAGTGTTCTATGAAACTTCTATCAGACTTTCGAGCTGGGAGAGCTCAAATGCATAGAAATATTATTTCTTTGAACTCAGCGAGCTCAAAATATCACGTAAATTATTTTTTGAGCTAAAAAATCTCAAAAATGTCATAAGTACAATTTTAAGCGACCAGGATGGCCTTTAGGGTGAACCGTTTTTCTAATTATATACTTTATGTTCTATTGATAATTGATAAATTAATATATTTTATAATTACCGTATTAACCCATGAGCTGCGCCAGGAAAGTTGAAGTAATGCTTAATAATTTTACCATAAATAATTATTGAGAAATTATAATTTATGTCAAAATTGATGCGTTGCTGTTTTAAATGAATAAAATTTTTAAAAATATAAATACATGACTAAATTTTGTTCATTTTAAAATTTTTAATCCTTATTTAACATAGTTTGAACTCGATATTTACGAAAAAACCAGCAAGGACTAGGAGGACATTCATCGATAACTAGGAGGACTAGAAGCAGCGACATCCATCGAGGACCAACCAAAAGGATCAGCAAAGGATTTGTTATAAGTATTTTTATTATTTATTTTTTATTTTATTATTTATGAGTATGTCTATTATTAATTTCAATTTAATTACCCTAAAATTTTACTACCCAATAATGTTCTTTAGATCAATTTTTATTTTTTACAGTACCTCCCCTATTTATTAATTACAATTAATTTTAAGAATATTAATTCACATTTTTTATTACAGCATCCCTGTATTTATTGACCCAAATTTACCCCAATAATGTGAGTTTTAATTTTTCAGCACCCCTATTTTTATTTACCCCTAATAATATTAATAATGATAATTTTTTGTTTTCAGCACCCCTAACTTTAATAACCCCAAATAATATTAATAACAATAATTCTTAATTTTCAGCACCCCTATATTTATTTACCTCCTAATATTATCCATGATATTAATTAATTGTTTTCATTACATTATCCCTATGTTTTTTAATCTTAATATTATTAATTTTTATTTTTCTCTGTTTCAGCGTCCCTTCATATTCTTTAAGTTCCACCCTTATTAATAGTATTAATAATAATAAAAATAGTTACAAATGTATAAAATTGTTTATTGTATGATTGTATGAGTGTAATGATTATTCGTATGTGTGATATATGTATGATGTGTGTAATGTTTGAGCCACTTTAAAATGTGGTTTTATATGTAAGCTGTGTTAGCCGGGTTTCTCTGGGGTTTCCCAAGGCCGGTGCGATTAATATAATTAACAATTAACTATATCAATCGTAGGTGAATGCGCACAGTTGCGTCCCCAGTCGCGTAATTTTTTTTTTTTTTTTTTTGTTCAATAAAGCGAATTATTTCGCCTTAACGAATAAAATTGTGACTTTTTATTTGACTGACCCCTTCCTTCTAGTTTTAAGTAGTTTGTAATTAGAATATAAGTAAATTTAAGAAAGAATCCATCAACTTCCTGCTACAGTTCATTCATGGCTTTTTAAGGTAATTATATGTTATTTATCTAAAGTTTGTTAAAACAAAAATTAAATTGCAGTCATGTGCTGCACTAGACTCATTTGGGTGCGCACATGACTCAGTCTAGAGTAAACTAATTTTTCTTCCATTTTTTCTTGCACACGACTGAGTCTGGTGCATAAAATGAACCAGTCGGGTTTCATTTTTTCCGTGTAGGGTGAACCGTTTTTCTATTTTTTTTTTTTAATTTAATAATAAATTACAAGTTAAAAATTTTAATTTCATTTTGATAATTTTTTACGTAAAAAAATTACAATAGTTTATTTAAAAAAAAAACATTTTTGTTTTTATTTTAGCCAAAAAAAATAGACTTTTTTTGTGTGGAATTTAAAGCTTTATAATTTTTATTTAAAAATTTTTTTGTAACTCTTCTTGTTTTTGAATTCTCCTCAAAAGCGCTCAAATTTAATTTACAAATTAGGAAAACGGTTAAATCACATCTTCAGGATGTATTTAAAGGATTTTTATGAGGGAAGTAACATGAAAAATAATTAGGGTCTTAGTATTTGCATCAAACTGTACTAATTTTAAGTTAAGAAGCTTTTTACGATGTTAGGGAGCTTAATTTGTAATTAAGCTTAATATTTAGAAAAAAAAATTTTTTTTGTTAAAAATTATTAAATACACGGAAAAAAATAAATAATAAATGCACCATAATACAGTCTTGACAAATAAACATGATGAAATCATGTTGCAGCTAAATGATTTGTCATGTTTCGGCTACATATGACAATCATGTTTTTCTGAAGCATAAATATTTAGTTGTTGCAGCTTAATTTTATGCTATTAAGGGTACATGACAAGTCATGTTGCTGCAACATGATTTTTCTCATTCTACCGCAACATGATTGTCATGTTGCTGAATAATGACAAATCATGTTGCTGTCACATGGCAAATCATGTTGCTGCAAAATGATTTTTATCATGCTACCGCAACATGATTGTCATGTTGCTATCACATGATTTTTCTCATACTACTGCAGCATGATTGTTATGTTGCCGAAACATGACAAATCATGTTGCTTCAACATGATTTTCTCATTCTACCGCAACATGATTGTCATGTTGCCAAAACATGACAAATCATGTTGCTGAAACATGATTTTTCTCATTCTACCGCAACATGAATGTCATGTTGCCGAAACATGACAAATCATATGTCTGCAACATGATTTCATCATGTTACATTTAATATTTATTTTTTTCCGTATACTTCTTGATTAAATAAATTTTGTAAAAAATTTAAGTAGAAAAAAAATGAATTTAATTTTACTTACATAAACGTAATTAATATTGTTTTTTATACAATAGCACTAAATATATCTTTAAATTTAATAATAATAATAATAAATAATGAAATAAAACACAAAAAATAATCTTATTTAATTTTTATTTTCCAGCTTTGTTATTAACATCAATAAATAATTTAATAGGCCTAAAAATAATTTTACCAGATAATTATTTTCCAAAAAATCAAAATCCCACATAATTAATTAATTAATTAATTAATTAATGACAATAATTAAATCTATATTATTTATACATTGCAATAAAATAATAAATATATATTTCTATCACGTGGTGAATACTTAGTTCAATTATTAAAAAATCTTAACCAAAAAAAAAAGTTTGTCAATCCGCTCTCTAGATGGCGCTCAAGTTAGTTAATATTTTAAATATTCACTAATTAATTTATTATTCATATATATATACATAATACAGAACGGTATTCACCATGACGCGTTAATTAACAATTAATAGTGTTTAATAATTATATTTCAGTAGGTTAATTGAGTTTACCGTAAATTTATTAAGTTGATTAATGAATTACTTCTCTAGCATGTTATATTTATATATTACATTGTAATTTTATAATTAATAATTTGTTGAGAAAAAAAAAAAGATTTTTTTTTATTAATTATTTCCAAGCAATACCATCGAGTGTTAATTTTATAATTAATAGGTTAGGTATTAATTAATTAATTTTTTTTTTCATTATTTTACATGATTCTGCGCCGGAAAAGTCCATCATTGAGCGAGCCGACGTAAGCCGCAGGAGCAGTTTGCGGAGCGCCGCCAGCGGGAGCAGGAGCAGCACCTGGTTGAGCCACTGGGACACCTGGTGGTGGTCCGTATTGGTAAACGGGTCCTGCTTGCTGCGCTGGCTGAGACTCCGGCATGAATTTAGCTGGAAAAGTTCCAAAAATTAGTACACAAGAATTGGTTGACAAAATGGCGGCCGAGATTAAGTTCACGAAATGGGTGAGTACACGTTTACAGTGTTATTGTTGGTTGCTGTTTGGTACTTGGCTTTTTTGAGGTTTGAGGTGGGTATTAGTAATATATAACGAGTATTTTGGTATAATACTGTATTGTTATGTGTCTGTTTGCAGAGTTACATTGTTATATTAATGTAATTTTTAGGTTAAGTAGGTGAAATTTTGAAAAAAATATCTGTACGATTAAAAAAGTAAGTTTTTTTTTGAGGTTTTAGGTTGATTTTAGCGATTTTTTTTAGGTTATATGACTTATATGATGGTAATATCTGATTTAAAACCATATCTGATCCATATATGACGTTAATTTGTAAATATAGGAAGTTTAAACCATATATGATGCACATATGACGTCGATATTTCTAGTTTATAATGTTAAAACTATATCTGATTCATTTATGACGTTAATATTATTAAAATATGATGTTTTAACAATATCTGACGCATATATGACGTCAATATTGTTAATGTATAATGTTTAAACCATATCTGATTCATATATGACGTTAATATTGCAATAAATGATGTTTAAACCATATCTGATTCATATATGGCGTTACTATCGTTAAAATATGATGTTTAAACAATATCTGACGCATATATGAAGTTAATATCGTTAATGTATGATGTTTAAACCATATATAACGCATATATGACGTCAATATTGCTGATATATGAAGTTTAAACCATATCTGATCAATATATGTGGCATATATAAGCATTATCAAGTATGTTGAACATATTTGACTTATATGATGGTAATATCTGATATTAAAACGATACCTGATGCATATATGACGTCAATATTGTTAATATATGATGTAAAAACCATATCTGGTCGATATATGTCGCAGATATTGGTATAATTTGATATTTAAACCATATCTGATGCATATATGACGTCAGTATTGTTAATATATGATGTTTGAAACATATCTGATCGATATATGTAGCACATATAGGTATTATTCGGTATATTAACCATATCTAAGTCATATCTGACTTATATGATGGTAATGGCTGATATTAAAACCATATCTGACCGGTATATTGACCATATCTGACTCATATGATGGTAATATCTAATATTTTTACCATTTATGATTCATATGATAGTAATGTCAAATATTTAAACTATATCTGACGTTAATATCGTCAATATATGATGTTGAAACCATATCTGATCGATATATGACGCCGATATTACAAATATCTAATTAATTAATCACATATGATTCATATACGGCGTCAATATTGTTAATATACGATGTTTAAGCCATATCTGACTCATATATGACCTCAATATTGGTAACATCTGATATTAAAACCGTATATGACGTCTAGATTGATAGAATCAGATATTTTATCGATATCTGATATATGACTGGCATTAATATCAATAATATACGATATTTTCAACATATCTGGTTCATATCTGACATATCTGGTTGCAATATCTGACATTATATTCATATCTGATTCATATATATATATAACAAATATCAGATAATATCAAATATATTAACCATATCTGATATTATAAACATATCTGATTCATATACGACACATGATATTAATATCTGATATTTTAACCCTATGTGATTAATATTTTTCCCAAAATCAAATCCTTCCCCCTCTTTTGAACCATATAAATCCTTCCTAATAATATCATCTATCATATACACATCAGATACGGTTTAAACCGCTCTACTACCTCAAAAATCGTACAGTTTTTTTTACTTTCCACCCCAAAAAATATAAAATTTTCAATAGAAAAATTATTAAATAAAAATTGCAAGCGGATCAGCTTACATGCTTTAAATAAATAATTAAATAAAAAAAAATATTTAAATTTTCAAATTCTTACCTCCGTCCAATCGTAACATTTAAAACTTCCCTGGATTGATATTTAAAAAATAAAAATAAAAAAATGTTGGTTTCTTTTTTGTCATATATTTATTATTTATTTATTTATTATTTATCATTTTTTTTTTTATTATTAACATGTATATATGTATAACATTTGTAGATTATTTGTTATAATTATAACCAATATATTAATATAATAATTCAATTATTTAATAATATTTTCATCTATTTTTTTAAGCCTCAAAATTTACCCTATTTTTTTTTTTATTAATTATTCTTTGCAGTGTTCGTAATTATATTGTAAAAATAAGCCGAAAGTAATTATTATTATTATTAATAATAATTTAAAATTAATTAATTTTTTTACGAATATACTACGAACACATTTATAATGTTTAGTAATTGTTAATTAATTACTTCAAATTTGCAGACTAAAACAATATTGATAATAATTTTTTTTTATAATTTTTAATTATTATTTATTGAATTTATGGAATTATAATTATTTACAGATCACGACAACGTGAATATTTTTTTATTAATAATCAATTTTATTATTGATTAATTTTATTAATTAACTAATAGATTAATAATCAACAATAAACATCTTATAGACACAAGTCGGGAGGCAAATTAATTTAATTAATTAATTATCAAGTTAATTAAAGTTCAAATTAGTCGTTGTAGCCGCAAATAATTGAAAGATGTTTGAAAAAAAAAAAATTTACTCCTAATTTAATATATATTTATTTATCTTGAATTTTGTTATTTTATTATTAATTATTTTTTAAGTCAATTGATTAAATTCTTTAGTGTTGTTTCCGCCGGTGACTTTTCCTGAAAATAATTTATAGGTTTTTTTTATATGGTTTTTTTTTATGGATAAATATTTATTGTGAAGATAATTTTGAGAAAATACTTGGTTGGGAAAGCTTAGGGCTTATTTTCATGAAATTGAAGCTTAAGGCACATTTTTATGAAGATTTTTTGGTCAAAAAGATTGATATGTAAAAAAAAAAGGCACAAAAGTTGTATAAAACAATGGAATTTTGCAAAAATTTCTAAGCTTAAGGCTTATTTTCATGAAATTGAAGGTTAAGGCGCGTTTTTATGAAATTGAAGCTTAAGACGCGTTTTTATGGAGATTTTTGTATAAAAAGTTGCATAAAAAAAAATGATATGTAAAAAAAAGGCACAAAAGTTGTATAAAACACTCAAATTTTTCTAAACTTAAGCCGCGGTTTCATGAAATTAAAGCTTAAGTCGCATTTTAATGAAGTTAAGGCTTAAGTCACGTTTTTATGAAAAAATTATTCCACTAAAGTTTATAAATAAAAAGGTAATTGTATTTTAAATAAAGGTTAAAAGAAATACAAACTACTAAATATTTAAAAGTTTAAGTTGCATTTCCATGAAATTAAGACTTAAGCCGCATTTTCATGAAGACTTTTTGTATAAAAATTTTCACGAAAAGAATAATATGAAAAAGAGGCACAAAAATTGTGTAAAATAATGAAATTTTCAAAAAATTTCTAAACTTACGTCTCATTTTTATGAAATTAAAGCTTAAGACGCATTTTCATGAAGTTAAAACTCAAGTCGGGCTTTCATGAACAAATTAATGTACTGAAGTTTGGATAAAAAGGTAATTGTAATTTAAATAAAGATCCTAAGGTAAAAATTACTAGACTTTTTAAAGTTCAAGCCGCATTTTCATGAAATAAAGGCTTAAGTCGCGTTTTCATGGAATATCATTAGATAAAAGTTTACAAAAAAAAAAATGACATGAAAAAAAAGGCACAAAAAATGTATTGAAGAATGAAATTTTTCAAAAATTTGTTAACTTAAATCCCGTTTTTATGATATTAGAGCTTAAGTCGCATTTTCATAAAATTAAAGCTCAAGTCGCTTCTTAATAAACAATTTCTTTCTCTAAAATTTGAAGGAATTGAATTAAACAAATAACATACTTAAAAATTATTAAACTATCCAAAATTTAAGTCCAATTTTCATGATTTTTAATTTCGATCATATTCCCGTGGACTAAAGACTTAAGTTCCGTTTTTATGACAGCGACACAACGAGTTATATTCTAACAATTTTATATTTTATTAAATTATTTAAAACTTGATAATATTAAGGCTTATTTTTATGAAATTTAAAAGTGGCGCTACTAATTAGCGACATTTTTTGACGGCGATTAATTTTGCACACTAGTGCGGTTAAAATTGATCCTTAAGGCTGATTTTCATCGCGAAAATTAAAATAAAGATATGGGAATCGATTATAGAGCTATATAAAATTATCTTCACATAAATATAAATGAATAAAGTTAAAAAGCGTGAAACATTAATAATAAAACGATTAAAGCGTCAATTGTTATTTAAAAATTAATATACGATAATTCTAAAAGTGAAAAAGTTTAAAACTTTATGTATAAATTGAGTTGAAAAGTTTAACAACAGCAAAGTCATGACATAAATGTTTAAATTTTAAATTATCCATCTATATTACTCGTGCGTCCAACAGTTCGATATTAATAATAACAATGGTAACACGTTGGACCAATAGCATGCAAGTAGGTCACTAATATTCTTTACACTAACATAAATAGGTCATTTCAACATGCGTAAATCGATTCTGCGCAGCTGCTTTTTGTAATTACAATTATCTTCGTTTATACTTAGTTATTTATTTTATTCAAAAGCTTTAATCATCAATTATTCGTCTTTTAACGCTTTTTTTACTTTTTTTTGTGATGTAAGTTCATGCAAAAGTCCAAACATGCAATGAAGATCGTCCCAGATGGAAAATTTTGTTTTGTATTTTTAAGAATTAGTTATTTTATTTATTATGGTGGTGTTTTGTTTTAATTTTTGGACAATTTTAATGATATTTTTTTTATAAAAATTTGGAAATATTTTATGTAAAAAAAAAAAAACAATTTTTTCTAGAAAATGTTCAAAATTTGAAATTTTTTTAAATGTTCAAAATTATTAAATTTTTTGGAGGTTAAAAAAATTTTTGAACTTTTTGGAAATGTTGAAAATTTTTAAAAAAGTTTAAAATGTTCAAAATTAATCGAATATTTGAAAATGTTCAAAATTTTTAATTTTTAAAAATTTTCAAACTATCAATTTTTTAAAAAAGTTCAAAATGTTCAAAATTTTTGAACTTCTTGGAAATGTTCAAAATGTTCAAAATTTTTAAAAAAGTTCAAAATGTTCAAAATTGATCAATTTTGTGAAAATGTTCAGAATGTTTAATTTTTAAAAATGTTCAAATTTTTAAAAAAGGTCAAAGTGTTCAAAATTTAACAATTTTTTGGAAATGTTCAAAATGCTCAAAATTTTTAAATTATTTAAAAAAGTTCAAAATTTATCAATTTTTTGAAAATGTTCAAAACATTTAATCTTTTTGTTCACGAAAAAATTATTTTTATATTTAAAAAATTAACACATTAAAATTGTCAAAATTAATACAGGTCAAGTCATTTAATTATTAATAAAATTGTAATTAATTAAAAAAAAAAAAAATGTAGTTTATAAATTGCACCATGCGAAAATTGTGGATAAATGTTAAAAGTTCAAAATTAATTAAATGTTATTAAAAGTTTATTATAAATTTGAATAAAAAGTGTAAAGATATTTTGCACTGTTCTGATTTTTATAAAAATTGTTTCAAAATTAATTTTTTTGACCAAATGTTAAATTTTGAACCAAAAAAAATTTTTTCTTGGTAAAAAATGAATCAGAACAAAGCAAAAAAAAATAAATTTGTAAAAAAAAAACTAAAAATTGTTAAAACAGCTTACCCTTTCGTGTCTGAAAGAATTATAATTACAAACTAAAAAAAAAAATGTATATTGCGTTTGTTGTTGTTTGTCGTACCTGGGACTAGCTTCGAAAAGGATAATTATTGAGTTACACAGACAGACACATAACAATAATTCGGGCCTTAGTTAATTCAATAATTAAATTAATCAATCAGACTGATTAATATTATAATCTAATAAAAATTTTGGGCCCTTATTGTTATATAATTAATAGCGAACACCAGCAAACCTATAGAGGAGTCACACCTAGATATTTTGCGGATAAGTAAATAAAAAAAAAAAACATAGATGAAGATGAAGATAACAGACAGAAGGTAGTACAGAGTTCTCAAATAAATCCGGTGAGGAAAACAACCTACAGACAATCACCAAATAAAAGTCGGAAGCCCATTTACGAAAAAAAAAAAAAAATACGTTTTGGGGGTGACAATTTTGTTCTACCTGCACTCACTCATACACTTATTTCTCTTCGGCTATTCATCTCGGCGTCTACATGAAGTTCGCTAATAAAAAAAGACAAGAGTTTACAAGATGTTACACCTTTTTTTTTTTTTTTTTATAGTTGAAGTTTAGAATATAAGGGATACCTCACATTTATATTAATTGTGTTTAAGATTTTTTTTCGGAGAATTTTATTGAGAAATTGTATTTTTTTTTTTTTACTTACCGACAATAATGGCCAGAATTATCAATCCGATAACTCCCATGATAATCATCATCTGTAAAGAGAAATTATTTTATTGTTGGAGTTTGAATGAAATTTTTATGATCATTTTTGTGATCATTTATGATCATATATATGATCATTTGTGATTATATACATGACATCATATATGTGATCACAAATGATCATACATGTGATCACAAATGATCATATATATGATCACATATATGATGTCATATATATGATCATTTATGATGTCATTTATGACCATATTTGATGCCATTTATGACCATATTTGATGGCATTATGATCATGTGATGTCATTTATGACCATATGTGATAGCATTATGATCATTTGATGTAATTATGATCATGTGATGTCATTTATGACCATATATGGTCATATATAGTCATTATGATCATATGATGTCATTTATGGACACATATGATGACATTTATGGCCATATGTGATGTCATATATGATCATATAAAATTATTATGATCATGTGATGTCATTTATGACCATATGTGATAGCATTATGATCATTTGATGTAATTATGATCATGTGATGTCATCTATGACCATATATGGTCATATATAGTCATTATGATCATATGATGTCATTTATGACCACGTATGATGGCTATATGACCATATGTGATGTCATATATGATCATATAAAATCATTATGATCATGTGATGTCATTTATGACCATATTTGATGTCATATATGATCACATAAAATCATTATGATCATGTGATGTCATTTATGACCACATATGATGGCATTTATGACCATATGTGATGTCATATATGATCATAGAAATTTATTATGATCATGTGATGTCTCTTATGACCATATTTGATGTCAGATATGATCATACAAAGTCATTATGATTATTTTTGATGTCATATATAATGACATGTGATGTAATAAATGATCATTACCTTTAAATTTTGTAGCCAAAATTTTCTTTTTAGTTTACCCGCTTGTTGTTCAAACTGTGATGCACCTTGTTGCAATGCATCTAAAAAAGAAAATTACTTATTATGATCACCACTACCAAATTAATTATCCCTCAAATTAAATATATAAATTACCAGCTCGATCATCAAGCTCAGAAAGTTTCTGATCTCGTTCTAACACCTTCTCGACATTAGTCTTCATAATATCAACGACTTCATCGACCTGAGCTTGTGTCTGCTGAAGACGCTTCTGTGAGGCTATTTGTTGGGGTGTTCGCGGACCACCGACAATCCCATCAGCATTTGCACCCGCTGCAGCATCTGGTGCAAGACCACCTTCAGATGCCCTTTAATTAAAAATTCATTTTAAAAATTTCTTTTATTCAAAATTTTTTTATTTAAAAAAAAAAAAACATTTAATCCCAAAGCCCATATCAGGTGCATCAACAATTATTATTATTTTTATTAGTTCTATGGCGCCCTGGGGCAACCATAAAAGGTCACCATGCCAGGAAAAGGTCAACGGCGCGGGTTAACCTCGAGCTCCTCCTATTAATTTTATTTTTTTTTTTTTTTCAATGAAAAAAAATTAAGAAAAAATCAATTTCTTGCAGAAGAAAAATTCTTTTATTTTTTCTGACAATTTTATTATTATTATTGTATATTATATTACCAAAATCGATTATCTAAATATAGAAAAAATATTTTTTTTTCAACCCTTAAAAAATTTAAAATCTACAAAAATTAATTCAAAATTAATTCTAAAAAAAATTTATAAAATATTAAGTAGCCATTGCTGCATTGACTTATTGAAAAGTTGCAGTAGGTGTGCAACAGAATCGATTGTCCGACTAGACAATTGCGTCTTTAAAATTATTATTAAAAATAAAAATAAATCTAAATCTAAATAAAAAAAAAATCAAAATTAATTCATTAAAAAATTGAACTAATTTTATTTTGTTTAAATTGTAAAATTACAAAATTAGTGTTTAAAAAAATAAATGAATTAATTTAATAAATTAATAAAGTACTTACATGTTTGATGAGTAATAATTAGCGATAAAACTCGAAAAGAAGAATAATTATTTAACAATTGGGTGAAAAAAATGATAATTATTAACCGAGCGAACGCTAAACCCGTAAAGGATGACGGAACTGCCAATGACTGGGTTTGGTGGCCGGTTATTGATAAATTTTACGTCAGGAATCGAGAATCGAAGAGTCGATTGTTAAAATTATTATTATTACGCGTGGGAGTTAAATTTTATTAACAATTTTTTTTCTATATAGAAATTTTTAACGAATTAATTTTACGGATTAATTTTTGAAGATTGTTCTTTGCGCGGATTGCTATTTTGATTTGTCAATGGAAATAATTTAAAAACGCGAGTAGAGGCTTCGATAACTCGAGGATTTTACTTTGGGGGTGCGCAGAAGGAATTACAGAGCGCAAGCGTGTAAATTCGGTCAATAATGTTACGACCCGCCTTCACTCCTACTGTTAACACCCCCCTCGGAAATACCAAATGCCAAATCACACGATTTATATATATATTTTATATAAATAAGTGTTGGATGCTTTGGTTTATGGATTTTGCTTAATGGATAGTCGCGTTTAGTTCTATTCTGGCCCCAAGTACTTACTATACTCAGTCGGATTTATGAAGTAAAGCTTATTCAGTTTTACTTTTCGGCTTGCGGGTAATTATTGATTAAGAGAGAGATTTTTTTGGGGTTTTAAAGAGATTTTTTTGAGATTTTATTAAAGATGATGGGTAAGTTTTTTTTAATTATATAATAGTAATTAATTTAATTTAAAAATATTTCTTTTAAAATTGCACTTGTAATTTTTTATTAAAAAAATATAATTTTGAAGATAGCTAAATTTTATTAAATATATACTAGCATATAAAATTTTGCTTAAATAATTCACTGTACTTTTTTAAATATTGACGTTTTTAAAGATATAAGCTCATCCTGAGGTTACACTCATCAAGAGCTTTCATTTGAGTACCCACATGCTTTTTTTATATATTTTTGATATATACATATATATAATATATATTTTAAAGATATAAGCTCATCCTGAGGTTACACTCATCAAGAGCTTTCATTTGAATACCCACATGGCATTTTTGATATAATTTGCTCTGTACGTTCTTAAATATTGACATTTTTTAAAATATAAGCTCATTTTAATGTTACACTCATCAAGAGCTTTCATTTGAGTACTCACATGGCATTTTTGATATATTTTTCATATATACATATATATAATATATATAAATATATGAAATATATGAAAAATTCATGTGGGTACTCAAATGAAAGGTCTTGATGAGTGTAATGTCGAGATGAGCTTATATCTTTAAAAATGTCAATAGTTCAAAAGATATTTGTAAATTTGCTCTGTACGTTCTTAAATATTGACATTTTTTAAAATATAAGCTCATTTTAATGTTATCAAAAGCTTTCATTAGAGCACCTACATGCATTTTTGATATATTTTTCATATATACATATATATAAATATATAAAATATATGAAAAATTCATGCGAGTACTCAAATGAAAGGTTTTGATGAGTATAACATCAAGATGAGCTTATATCTATAAAAATGTCAATGGTTCTCAAGATACAAGGTCATTTCTTAATTATATATCTACCGATTTTATCATATCACTACCCTGGACACAAATTTTCCTTATTCTTTTAATAATATAGATGACGTTTTTATGGAAGTTCATTTAGCAGATATTTTATAATTTATTGTAACAATTATGCAAAAAAAACGTATAAAAAAGTTAAAAAAATTAAAAAATGCAATATTTTTGTTGAAAAATTTTAAAATCTACTTCTAATTTGAATTTAACTAGAATTTAATTTTCGCGCGCAAGCGCGCGCGTCATATTTGTTGTCATGATATATTTATGTGTCGTTTAT